CACAATTGTTGCAGATGATATCCCCGCAACGATCACCGGCCACTGTAGCGTCATTGACGTTAAGAGATCCCAGTTTGCAAAATTTACAAATCTCTCCTCGCTCATTTTGGGATTTGATCTTCGCATTCGGTTTAATTAACAGGACTGGATGCCTTCTCAATTAATCGTTTTCCTTTCTGACCAGCCATCATGAAATGCAAGAGCTAAAAAAACACAAGTTAAAACTGAATCAAGTTGAGTAGAAATTGTAAAGCTTCCAAAGTTCTGTAAAAACTCGGTTACAGACTTGAGAAAGTCTGGAACCGAGTGGCTTTCAGAAAGTGGCGAAGTCAGCGGCTGTAAAGGTGTTCAGGGTAGAGGAGGTAAGCTTGGGCATAAAACAAGGGCTCTAGAGTTCTACGCTGGCGAAGCAGTGCACCTTGCCCTCGCTTGCTTGGCGACCCTCGCTGACTCTAAATCGCGTTATTTCAGATGAAAACACTTTTACTATAGGTTTGCTTTTTCTATTCGAACTCTCTTTTACTGACTTCACTGAAAATTTAGTCACTCACTGACACGGATCATAAAAAAATGCAAACAGAGTTTCGAAAACGGCACAGTAAAAGTTAAAAGTTGAAAATCTGGGACCGCCAAACACGAGCGTCCGCTCTCGACCATGGCTGAAACTTGACTTTTTTGAAACTTGACTTGAAACACTGATTACTCACGTTTTCTTGACGACACATTAAGATGCGCTCAATGAAACTCTCCTAACAATATAGTACTCGACTAAGTAAACAGTCGGGGTAAACGTGATGAAACGTGGTAAAGGGAACAGTGAAAATATTATAGTATAAAGTAAAGTCACAATTGCCTACGCTCTATTCACCTTTAATAAAGAAAGAATGCGATTCTGGGGCTATATTTCCTTGCATCGCGGCTGATTTCCTCACCTTGGCTTTCGTATGTGAAAATAGTAGAATCAAATGATTGCCGTGAAATCCTTGATATAATATTTTTCCGCTATAATATATGCAGACCAGCACATGTTGTCTGTTAGCCACACATTGCAATCTAGTCGGTCCATCACATGTGGTGTGTTGGTCTCTCTCAATGTTCCAGACAGTCCAGCATATGTAGTATGTTGGTCGTCCGTTGCAATCTAGACAGTCCAGCATACGTAGTATGTTGGTCTTCCGCTGCAATCTAGACAGTCAAGCATATATAGTATGTTGGTCTTCTGCTGTGTTCTAGGCAGTCCAGCATACGTAGTATGTTTGTCTTCCACTGCAATCTATTGACAGTCTAGCAAACGCATGTTGGTCTTCCGCTGCAATCTAGACAGTCCAGCAAACGTAGTATGTTGGTCTTCCACTACAATCTAGTCAGTCCAGCACATATAGTATGTTGGTCTTCCGCTGTGTTCCAGACAGTCCAGCACCTGAAGTGTGTTGGTCTTCCGCTGCAATCTAGTCAGCCCAGCATATGTAGCGTGTTGGTCTTCCGCTGCAATCTAGTCAGTCCAGCACATGTAGTGTGTTGGTCTTTCGCTGCAGTCTAGTCAGTCCAAACCATGTAGTGCGTTGGTCTTGCGCTGCAATCTAGTCAGTCTAGCATATGTAGTGTGTTGGTCTTCCGCTGCAATCTAGTTAGTCCAGCACATGGAGTGTTTTGGTCTTTCGCTGCAATCTAGGCCGTCCAGCATATGTAGTGTGTTGATCTTTCGCTGCAATCTAGTCAGGCCAGCACATATGTAGTTTGTTGGTCTTCCGCTGAAATCTAGTCAGTCCAGCATATGTAGTGTGATGGTCTTCCGCTGCAATCCAGTCAGTCCAGCACATGTATAGTGTGTTGGTCTTCCGCTGTAATCTAGTCAGTCCAGCATATGTAGTGTGTTGATCTTCTGCTGGAAGCTCATCTCATGGCCAAATTAAATTCAGCCAGTCATTTAGTTTTAGCTGATAAATGAGGACCGAGCGTGACCAGGGTGTCTTCTAAAGCCGTAAAATGGTTCTGGCAGGTCAGCGAGCCTGTGATGGTAGTAGAAATACCTGTAGCCTTAGTGCACTGAAAAACAAACCGTCCCAGTGCACTCCCCTCGCCCTTCGCCATGGACGAACATTTACAACAACAACAGCAGCGTTATGGTCGCGCGTCTCACCACGTCCTGAATGTCCGCTGTGAGTTTGGGCTCAAGGTCCGCCAGGTACGCTGACACAGTCCAGTGATGACAAATTAATATAAGCGAGATAGTGAACTTGAGCCCAGCTTTTTTAGCGCATTTTCTCATTTATGGAAAAAATGCACTATTGTGCTCGCCATGTCCGTCTGTCTGTCCGTCCGTCTGTCCGTTGTTGCCGGAAGGCATCTGACTTTTTATAACTCAACCAGTCTGTGTTTTAATTCATTATTTTTCAGTAACTCCTGACTCGATTTAATTATTTTATATTTGTGATTCAGGGTAATTTTTGCACAACTAACGACAGTCGCGTTCAATTCAGTTCTGCCATTTAGTAACTAGCAGCCACTGGCATTCCGTGTTGTGTTAGTCTGGAAGTGCAATCCCGATAAGTCTGCTCTCCGAAATCGGAACATTTGTCTACTGCGTTAGTCATTTTGTCAGATCAATTGTATTTCTTTCACAAGTGATAAATTCCTTGTTCATTATGCACTTTACTGCAGTTAATGATCATTTGCTTATTCATGCGTTAGTTATCCAAGCCTATCTTGATTATTGAAGTAATGTTCTTGTTTGAATTAATTGATTATTTCTTGTTTGATGGTCAGTTTTTAATGCATTTTCAGTCATAATAAATATTTTAGATTAAATTCTGGCATTGTTTAAGAGATTGAATTATTTTGTTTGTGTATTCTTTATTTAGCACTAGGGTTATATATGTTCCATTTATTTTTCTTGCAGTGTCACTGTCACTCTATAGTGTCTAGTCCTACCCTGTGCTCCCTATATAAACTATAATTGGTACTCTGAACTGTAACCACTGAGCCACCCTGCCTCAACCACTGGGCCACCCTGCCTCGACCATTGGGCCACCAATGAAAATCTACGATTTAAACCACAGAATTTATCCTGCTCAATAACATTAAACTCTCTACAACGAAAGGAGGGGGAAATTTAAAGTATTTTATATTATTTCAACTGAAATGTTGTAAGATAAAAAATATTTCATTTAATTCCATGCCTGATACCTTTCCCCATGCGCAGCGTAAATTTCCAAACTAATTAGCGTTCAAGTATCCGAATAAAATAATTCAAGCAAATGCAAAGCTCCTGAACATTTCGGTAGAAACTACAAATCTGCAGGTAGTAACATGTAATTTCAAATTACAAGGTTTATGATGCACTCATCAATCCAGTGATTTTAACTGCAAACGGGTGCAGATGAAGAAAAATATTATAATATAAATAAGATGTCATCTTAAAAAAAATTGTTATAGGGTGACGACGGTTTTGATATTACTTATGTTTGAAGTGTATAATGTCGTGAATAAGCGTTTAAAAATTACTTATTAACCCTGTCAAAATTTTCGTGCCGATTAAGGTCGTTTTAGAGGAACTATATTCGGCTTAGGGGTGAATCAGGAGCAAGTCGGCCACGTAGGGTGTTTTGCTTCTATGTACCTGTCTCTTATACACATCTTTAATTATCGGATATAGTTTAAAAAGCCGTCGGTGAGTGTCTGTTGGGATTACGAACTCATAAATATTTATTGTGCTGTGCCACTTAAGCAAGCCATTGTTTAACGGTGAGTAGCTAAAAAAATAAAATTCAGTACTCACTGAAGTGAGTGACAGAGAGCGCATTTTCTCGTCGACGAAAACGTGCTCATGGACGGACGGATGGGCGGACAGACAGACGGACAGATGGACGGACATGAGGAGCACAATTGCGCCTTTTTTCCATAAATGAGAAAATGCGCTAAAAAGACATGACATTAACTCCTTCGGAGCTGAAGAAAAATTAGATGCTCTCCGCCGCCACCACCTCNCCTGTCTCTTATACACATCTAGATGTGTATAAGAGACAGAACTTGGGGCGTCCGTGTGCCAGCGGCTGACAGGTCTTCGAATTTCGATAGGGAAAGACAACACTTCTAGAGAGGCCAGTGTCTCTGATTTTACACATGTATAATGAATTTCTAATTGTATTGTTATATTTTTAAGAAGAATTATTTTTTATTTTTGTAATTAATGTATATATTATACCTATATATTTTTTAATTTATAAATATTTTTATTCTATCAATTGATTCAAGCATTGTCTCTGACTATACACAAGTGTGCAAAATTTCAGATCAATTGGACAGGTAGCAGTGTGTTATATATCAATTATAAGATTTGTAGCAGACAAACAACAAGAAGTGTTGACAAACAAGACAGCAAGAGAAGTGTTGTAAAATAGAAAACACTCTGCTAAAATGCTGCATGAACATTAAGAAACGAACTAATATTCTATTACAACGAATCCTGATCAATGTAGAGTCGCTTAAGTTGTTATGCTATATAGCGAACATCAATATTGGTTTAGGGCGACTCTGTCCTGTAAAATAATGACAGCATTGTAAGAAAGCACTGAATCTGTTTTATCTCGATTTGACAAGTTCCAATATAACAAAACGCGCGTACTTAGTAGTAAGCAATTATGTCCCTGCAGACATACTTTCTAAAGCACCTCCAAAAGCTACGTATAGGTGTAAAATTCTAAACATCTAGAATTGGGACACACTCTGTTCCTGATTATATTAAAGATGATACAGGTAAAAAGGGTGATACAGTTAAAATGCTATATAAGACAAATTCATCTTGCTTCTAAATAACCCCGAACCACAGTGAAACCGCAAACTTCGAAAAAACACCTAAGGTTCAGTGTTAGATTCGAAACATCAAGGATTGGAACTCACACTGTGCCTTTTAAGATGCTAACATATCGTAGATAATATCTTATCTATACCATATGTTATATATTATCTATTAAAACAAGTATGATGTTATAAAAGCTAAATTCATCCCGTCTCTATTCAATGCAAAAGCTTTGAATATACCTGAATTTGTTACAAACTTCGATATTTGATTAGATTTCTTCGGTCGTGCTAAAATTCGGGTACCATCTACGCTTCTGGCGAAGAGTCGCTACGCTCGGCTACACCTCATCAAAATCGGGCACCTGATCAAAATTAGCTTCTGGTCAGAATCTCACCCGTTCAATTATGACGGTTGAAACATGAACGAACTAGGGCAACGCAACGTAGACACAAATTACGCCCGCGTATATATCCATTTTATTGCAGAGGCAGTCGTAAAACAAGGTTCTTGGATCGCAAATGCCAATACAATTCTGGGTGCCGTTGTCAGGTTCGCCGTCGTCCCAGCCGTAGATGACAGCGTCAGGCACCAGCACTCCGGAGCTGCGGGTGACGTAGGATCCATTGCTGGTGCGTATCATGTCCAGGAAAATCGCTGCCGACTGCCGGATGGACAAAATTGCCCGGTCCTGGAAGTAGACATTTTTTTCTGATTCAATCCATCATTTTTTTGCGGAAATCTGTGAGTAAGAATTACCTACCCATGAGTGTCCGATCAACGATGCTTCATGACAAATACTTATTTCAAAGCAAATAACGGAGGTTTCTATTGTTAACGAATCTAGTTAAACCTTGTTTAACCGAGCGGCAAAGTTCGAGAGCAGGTGTTCGGCTCAACAGCACGCTATCTGCGCTTAGTCCTCTGATAGCCGGGATTCTATTTTTGATTCTCGCTTAGAGGGACAATCGTCGTTAGGGAGAATAAAATCTTAACAAAATCGGGAAACGCCTAGGCTTCTGCCCAGGAGTCGCTACCGTCAGCTTAGAATAATTCTGGCTCTGCATGGCCATGGCACCCTATTGAAATCAGCTTCTGGCCAGGATCTAATCACCGACTTGACTAAGAGTGACTAAGAGAAGACCTGAGAGTGTGACTAAGGATTGACAGCGAAGTTTCGAGCTTGTAAGCTGCTTGGAGGCCTTCTCTCAAGTCCGGCCGAAGCGGACTTGGGCGACTGATTTACGTCCTAGGTGGCACCTGATGCAGAGTCGGTTCTGCGTCCAAATCTAATTAGGCGTAAGACTATGCTTTGGTGGAACACTCACCTTCAGGGAGGCAGGGTAAGGCACCGGCTCCATGCCATTGTTCTGGCATGTGTTCAGTGCGACTCTGGAAAGAGGATGTATGATTCAATTCCTCATAGCCTTTATTGAGTTATATTTAAAATAAATTATCAGTCATGCAAAAAACTATAAACATGAACAAGCTCCTTATACACGACACTTTCATGCAGAAATCGGATCATAATTCTTGAAATCTTACGAATGTTAAATAGCTTCCAGAAAGATTTTAGTAATGTAGGCAGACAATTTTGTAATTTAAAATTGATAAGACGATGTTAATGGGCAAACGGCTTGGAAGGTCATATTAAATATTACAACACAAAATATTTTAGGCAGAGAAGTGTTTTCTCATTTTGCTCTAACAAAATAATTTGTGATTCAGAAACGGCCTTTGGCCACATACTTCCACTTTTTCCAGCACATGGAGAAAAGTGATCTGAGACAACTCTTATAGCTTGAACGTTAAAAAATTGTGAGGTAGAAACGGCCTCTGGTCACATATTTCCCCTTCCCTTTTGATGGAAATGATTCGTTCCTGAAGGCCGTCGGTGTTGAGGTCTTCACGGCGCCGGCCACCGTAGCCACCACCACCAGCAGGCACTGCGGCAGTCGAGGCCAATACTTTGCTTTCGATACTTAACGAACATCAATAACTTAATCGTGGTACGAAAATATTTAGACAGAAAAAATGTAATCTCTTTTTTTCTGTGTACGGTGTCAACTAGGGCGTTACTCAAGACTTTAGCGAATCCGCAAGAACCAACCAGGTTCATCATATTTTTCGTAGTTAAACACCGACAGAAGAATAAAAAAGTTATAAATTAAACCTTCATTCAACAACAGGAAGTTAAAGAATGTGTGTACGAGAGAAGTCAAGTTCCAACTTCGCCGCATTCAGGTCTAGATTTGGAGGTCTCTCTCAGGGTTGCCAGATGGCCTAAAAACGGTCTAGTCCGCGAAGAAAAAGGCCTATAATTCAATATATAGTAGTATATATTCGTAGGTTCCGGTGTAAAAATGATTTTTTTTGCAATTTCTAAAATATAATTAGGAAGTACCCATATCATAAATTTCAACCGGCCAGCGCAAGTGAAAAAGAACTAATTCGCGAAATTTGTCGGGAAAAACCCTCTGGCAACCCTGGACTATGATAGAGCTGATTGAGTAAGCCACTATTCCGCACTACACAGTCGATCCGGCAGCATCATACGGTTTGGTTAATCTTCTACCGCCGTATGTTACTTTCCGGGAACATAACTTTCAACTTAAATTATGCGTAAACTATTAAATGTAGCAACCTGAGGACGTTTGTACGCAACAGAGAACATTTTAAAGTTGTTGTACGTGGCGGCAACCATCAGTGCAAGTCATTTTGCGCTCACTAGATTCTAGAACGTATCCTTTTTGGGAAGTAGGCGCGTGACAATATTGCTCCGGTTACTCACATGTCAGGCAGTAGAGGGTTAAAAACCCATCAGTAAAAAAGGCATCTATAAAAAGTGTATTTCCCTCGTTTACACTCTCACCGGTCTATACCGGGGGAGTCTCCGTTTAGCCGTGGTCGAGAGAGGCTCGTGTTTGTGGTCCCAAATTTTTAACTTTTACTGAGCCGTTTTCGGAACTCTTTTCGCATTTTTTTATGATCCGTGTCAGAGAATGATCGAATTTCAGTGAAGTTTGCAAAAGAGATTGCGAATAGAAAGAACAAGCCTATAGTAAAAGTGTTTTCATTTTAAATAACGCGGACTTTTTAGAGTCGGTGAGGAACGCTTGCTTGCGCGGGTAACGTGTGACTGCCTCTCCCACGCGGGAGTCGGGACAATACAGCCTTAGCTTTCTTGTCCAAGCCAACCCCTTCCTTGAACACCCAAGAAGCTGAGATCGCCGCTCTCTGAACGTCGCTTACTCTCAAGTCTGTAAAAGAATTTTTTACAACACTTTGGTAATTTGTACAAATTTTTACTTAACTTGGTTTCGGTTTTTAACTTAAGTTTATTTAGCTCTTGCATTTCAAGATGGCTGGTTACAGAGGAAAAAAATTAATTGAAAAGGCCTCCAGTTAAACCGAATGCAAAGATCAAATCGCAAAATGAGCGAGGGAAAATTTGTAAATTTTGCAAGCTAGTTTTGCCTAACGTCAATGACGCTACAGTGGCCTGTGATTGTAGAGGGGATATCATCTGCAACAATTGTGCAAAGTTGAGCAAGACAGGCTGCTCGCTAATTCGCAGAAACAAGACTGGTATTGCCAGGACTGCCAACAACCTGCACTTAGCGCTGTAAAAAGAGAAAAAAATGGAGGAAGAGAAGTGCTCTTCTATGTTTTTTGTCTTTAAGGCCGAAAGGGAAGAAACCAACACGCAAGAGTTAAGAAAGAGAGTCGAAATGGAGGAGAACCACAAGAAAGAATTTGGCTTGTTGCGAAGCGAATTACACTCGTTACGAAAACTCATTTGCACAAAACAGAAAATGGCGATAACAGAGAAGGTAAAGGCCGCAAAAAGGCTCATCTCTGATCTCGCCAGCGAGAGCACTCGTACCCTGCTGGATAGAGAGAGAAGACTTAACCTTATTTGGTTTAACGTTCCCGAAAGCAATGCTTCGGATGCTGAATTTATTATACCGATTGCTATGCCAAGGCACTAAACGTCGTTGTGAATATAACGGCATGCAAGAGGCGACGATCGAAAGACGCTAACACCTGTAGCCCGCTGCTGGTAACTGTGCAGGATACAGCCCAGCAGGTCGGACATGTGCTTAAGGCTGCGAGAAAACTAAGTGAATTCCCAGAGTTTAATGCAGTCCTTGTTAAGAAGGATGCTACCCCTTTAGAGAGAGAAAATTTTCGCAAGAAATGGCAGGAGAGACTCAGGCGGAAAAAC